AAAAGCGGGATGATTATATTATGGGGAGATCTTAAAAAGCATCAAGTTATAGGCCTTGGTAGCTTTACTTCTAATAATATTGGCAATGCTACTACTGATATTAAAGTTTGTTATTTAATTGTGATTGATTTATGTAACCATTTTAAAACTCGCTCTATCTCATTTTTAGATTTTAAGAAACATAATTTTAAAGTTAATAAGAAACCAGTTAATAAATATTCAGAATTTGTGCCTATTAACTTTGTATCTAAAGAGTTGGAATATTTTGGATTAAATTGTATATTAAATGATTCTGACGCTATGAAAGTATTTCCGTTTAAGGATCTCAGTAAAAAATTCAGTAATCCTCAGTTTAGATTCTCGACCTGTTTTAAATATGAGAAGTCAATCCGTGCTGATGTTACCAATTATAAGGAACATGTTTTAAATAATGAGCCTATCTCTAATGTTAATTGTTTTTGTAGTCATTACAGTGATTTCATCAACCCGAGTGTCGGGCATGTTATCACTGGGAACGTAGATATTGTTAAGAATAATAAACTTAGAAAATTATTTAAGAAAGGTTACACTTTTATTGAACCAGTTTACAAAAATAAGTTTGCTATTTTTAGGAGTGTTAAATCAGACTTACATAGATATATTAAAAGTCTGGCAACTAAGTACAGTGTCAGCACTAAATTATTTGATGGTTGGCGAGCCATAGTTTTAGATACTCTTAAACCCAAGATTTTTTCCTCTAAGATATTTTGTAAGCGGAATCAGACTGTTATTTCCTCGGAGTTTGAGGACCTTAATGTCCTAAAAGAACATTTTATTATGACTAGCGTAGACAAAGCGAGTAATAATGTTTCTTTTGTCTGCAAGAAGTACTATTTAGATAATTTATTGCATGAACTTTCCTCCACTAGTACGTATCAAGTTTCCACAGATTCTGAAGAGGATATTGTAAGAAAGCATGTGCAATTTTGCCAGAAGTTTAAGATTCCGGTGAATGATCTTTCGGTACCATTTATGCACATGTTACCGAAATTCCATAAACCGACCTTGGATTTCAGGTACATTGCAGCTGGGGTTAAATCTTCTACTAAAGTTCTTTCTAAAATTCTGAGTGGGGTATTTAAACTGCTTGGTACTACTTTAAAATACCTAGATAATTTTAATTTTAAGTTCTTAAACGCTTCTGGTTATTGGATTGTCGACAATAAAGACAGAGTGACATCCAACCTTAATTATCTTAATAATGCCTGCTCAGCTAAGTCAGTGTATTCGTTTGATTTTAAGAAACTGTACACCAACCTTCCCCATGATAAACTTATTGAGAAGTTATCATCTTTAATTAAATTATGTTTTGAGGAAAAGAAACTTGACTTTATCAATATCAACGACCAGTTTAAAGCTAGATGGTCGGGAGTTAATAAGACTAAATGGTCTTTTACATGTAGTGACCTGATAGATATGTTTAAATTCTTAATGGATAATATTTATGTTAAGTTTCGAGGTGTGATCTACAGACAGGTAATTGGTATCCCAATGGGATGTGATTGTGCTTCCCAGGTTGCAGACCTTTTTCTATACTGGTACGAGCACAATTACATCACATTACAAGTTAAAAACAAGAACCCTGTGGTTCACACTTTGAAACACGCCAGTCGATACATCGACGATTTAACTACCCCCAATATCAACAATAAGACTGTCGATATTATTTGCAATGATATTTACCCCGCAGAGTTGAAGATTATAGTCACAAACTATAGCAATTTATCTACGACTTTTCTTGATTTAGACATTAATATTTTGAACAATCGTTTCTACACTAAATTATATGACAAACGACGTGACTTTAGTTTTAAAGTCGTTACTTTTCCTAACCTTCGCTCCAACGTACCTGTTAAACCTTCGTATGGAGTATTTGTAGGTGAATTATATAGGATATGCAAATCTTCCTCAGTAGTTACTGAATTTATTCATGATGTTAAATTATTAATTGATAAACTGATTACCCAGAATTTTGAACGGAAAATCTTACATAGATATCTTAAATTATTTATTAATAGTCAGCCAGCGTGTATCCTCAGACACTGGCATATTTTCACAGTTAATGACTTCATGTAATTATAGTGTGTGTGAAGCCCTCTTGTAATTCCTTATGCATGTTACCTTTTGCCTTTCTCCTTTAGCCATTATTTCTTTGATCGTATCGGTACAGTTTACTTTCACAGTTTATTGTTAAAATTTCAAGCGGTAAACCAGTTTATTTTCTATATTCTTTCAGACTTTTATTTAAGTCTAGTTAACAGTTATACATTATTATATCATATTTTATTGATCTAAGGTGTAGTATTGCCAGATCCTAGTTCATTTTGTAACGGAGTTTTATACTAACAGGAAACGATGTAACAGAGTCGATATATTTTAATGTTGCCATGGGGTGGCAAGTCCCCATACATCGCAGTCCGGTAGTTTCATTGCGTCATAATATTAAACTGCAGTATAAATTATTAGCCGGCTAATGGATACGGGGTTCAGAAGATGTTGTGAAGTTTATTGGGAGGGGGTGCTATAATGGTTGTTGACAAGGTGTTAGTTTTAATAAGTAGATGGGCTTCTTACCTGTTATTTGAGTGTTGTGATACCGCCAAAAGCGCGCTTGGTGGTTAGAAACACTTCAGATTCAGTACGACCCTTCGAACTTTGAAACTAAGATTGGCAACATGATTTAGCGTAATAGGGTATGCGGACGTGAAGAAGAGAAGATATTTGAATTATAATGATACAGAGGGAGATTTGATAAAGGGTATGTTGTTAAAGTTGGCATGGTGGAATCATGCTGGGAAATAAGGGATACAAATTTTGTTGAGTTTGGGGTAATTTACGTTCTCAAATATGGCTAGTGGCTGCACATTGATTACTGCATTATAAGTATCGTCGGCTGATCGAAGTATAGCCGCTTAGTAGTATTATATTTTAAAAGTCAAGTATTTTAGGTAAGAGTTGTAATATTCGAATTAAGGATTGTGTAATTGATTAAGTAATTGTACGAATTAAGGATATAAAACGGCTAATCGAAGAATAGCCAATATTAGAGTATCGTATTTTAATTTTTTTGGCAAGTTTATTTTGTCGTGGGTGTAGTTAGAAGCTTAAACGTGTATAGTATGTTTAAAAGTGGAGACCGTAAAATTCGCAGTTCGCACAGCACAACTATAATAATTAACATTGTCCGGTGATGTTGATTAACTCCACATAAATTCATCAATTTCAATAAATAAATATTTGCCGACACTTTTGGGTCACTTTTGTGAGAAAATGTGCTATAGAAATTTTATCGGTCATAACATGTAATTTATAATCACTAGCAGGAACCCGTATAACCCTAAAGTGGTGTCAAGACTCAAAAGACTAAAATAATTATTACCTATTTAATTCGCGTTTTTGACACCACTTGGGGGTCCAAGTTTTGGGCTCTAAAATCACTATTCCTTGGCCAATTTTTATTTTTTATGCTGATTTGAAAGCCATTAAAGAATTTGACCCAGTAAAAAAAAAGTTTCAGTTGTATATCTTTTACGGTTTTTGCGGAAAGTCGCGTTAAAATTGATGCCGTGGTGTCAGTAAAATGGCACGGAAAACTATCGTCTCGCTTTATATATAGTAAGATTAAGGTATGGTGTATAAGTGGAGTCAGCCGTAGTAATTGTTATTTATTCATTTTAACTTATTAATTTTATTGAGGCTTGGATCTAACGCTCTTAGTCTTAGATGTTGCCAAGTGTTGCAATATTACATGGATGAACATATTGTACTCAATATTTATGAAGTATGGCATTCAAGGTTCACATTCAAGGTTAACATTACCATGAGGCTAACATTACCTAGGTACACGTTAACAAAGACTATAAGTAGAGAGAAGTGTATACCTCTACTAAACATCATATTCCGCACTGTTCTCTCAAAACTCAGATATACCAGAATGGGCAGATCCGGACAGATCTGTTCACATTCCCAAACACAAGCTCGAGCTCTGGCCAGGGTACATGACTTGTTGCGCCTTAAGACCATGTATCGAGAGTATTTATATTTTTTTAATAAAATAAGATACAAATTTTAAAAAAAATATATATTTGTATCCGTAAAAAGACACTAAGCACAGAATAAAATAAGTTGTTTTAAAAATGAGATTAATAAATAATATAGACCATCAGTATTTCGTGTTTAGTGCCTTTCAAGGCATTATTAACAGGTATGTTTGCTTCATTTTCGAAATAGATTAACCGAAGAAATACTTTCAAATAAGTATTTGATTAATTTTTTCGAAAAGTTTATAAATTATATTACGCGAGTTTAAATGGTGTATGGATGCTTAAAAATGTGTAAAGTTTTTTTAGTAGTATATTTTCTAGTCATTTAAGTTTAATCGACGAGGCCGTCTCTATTTCAGCAGGGAGGTGTAAGGAACCTCGAAATTCTCTCTCTAATTCCGATATTCCTTTTAAAAGATAGTTAAATGATTTAGATTTATAGTTAACACATTTCCATTGAAGATAGTAATGAACAATTCCAGTCATTTTGAGCTTGAATAATTTTATGTTTAAGATAGGTATCGTTAAGTTTAGAAGATCATTGAAATAAGATGTATATTTAAATTAGAGAAGAGATTACGTTTGATTAACAAAATGAAGCGTTTTGTGTTTAACTAATAGAAAATTCGACACGGTTGATGACATTCCATGGAGGTGTACAATCAGAACACCACAGAAGATCACCTGATAGCAGACTAGCCTATCGCAGTTTCAGACGAAGATCTATGAATTGTGAGAATGGATGATTAGCAGAGCATAGCAGAGTTTAAACCGTGATGAGCAATAACGATCTTGATGAACAATTACTGATTTTGATGAACCAGACTGATAGACTCTGTGAAAGTCGGAGGGAGTTAAGAGGGAGAGAGATCGGAGATCCGATGTCTTTCTCGGGTCAGTGCAGTCTTACAAGTTTGTTTCAGAGCAGTGCTTATAACAGAGTCCAGTATGCCGGTTCCATCCGGATGCTTTAATCTTTCCAGTCATAAGTATTCCAGTAAGTTCCTTGCCTTGATTTAATGTGAGCCTTTCATATTAGTATTTTGTTTCGTATAAAATAGTTTGACGTGATTTTTATATCTATATTGTTTATAGTGTCTATTCCCGTTTCCAATATCCACTTAAATTCTATACGACACACTGAAGGTTAATTCTATTCAGGTTGCTCTGAACCGACACATCGTGTAGTTTACCGGGCAAGTCTTCCATTCCATAATCTAAAGAACCGTGACTAAGTTTCCGGGTAGAAGTAAGCTAACGACGATAAGATTCCCGATCTCCCTCTCACTTGAAGGACCATTATACGGATTGAAGTTGTTCTTGAGGTAAAATCCTTTTCCATTAGTTTTTACATATGAAGTAGGTTTAAGAATATAGTTGGTAATTGTAGTTTCGTGCTCTCAAAATTATATACTTTGTACAAACTTCCGTTTCCGTTCCCAGGTCAATAGACCCGAATCTTCCTTCTCAGAACGTGCTGCCTTTGCCGATACCTGCTAGATTAATTGATTCTCCGTCATCAACCGAGGTAATTAGTTCAGTTATAACGTCCGCATAAAATAAGTAGTTGTCTTAAATAGTAAATTTATTAAGTATTATATTATTGTTTATCGAGTAAGACGTGTGCAGGTTTAAAGTAGTTTCCCGTTGGTTACGTAATAAATTGTTTCTATTGCCATAGTTAAAAGATATTGCTTTCAGACCATTCGTGACAGTCAAACTGTTGACGGTGAGACTCAGTCAAAGACGCGTGATATTCCAGCCCTCCTACACTATTTCTTAGAGAGAGACATATCAAAAGGTGATTGCACCAACATAGACTTAGAGTTCCTTTAAATAGGTTATGAGAAGAATTTCTACCGTTTCAATTAATTAGTATAGTATCAAAAGGTTACTTCCATTGTTATATAACCATTTTTCAATTTAAGAAGGTTTTCTCTCATTAATTATACTACCATTAGTCGTTCTATATTTTGTTCTATATTGTCGTTTCAATTTGTGTTAACCCACCAAAATTGAAAGTCTGAATTATAATCACTAACCGCACTAAATTAAATAAGAAGTAACATGAAACTCTGAATTCTAGCAAAACTATAATTTCCCTAAAACAAAAGTTTTAAGACGCTCAATCGTGGGTTCAGAACCTTCCGAGACGGACTCTCTTGATATAACCGGGGCCTCCCATGTATAGTTCTAGCCAAGTCAAAAGGAGCTCTAAATAAATAATTTCTTGGAGGAAATAAAGTACTACATATCATGGACATGGGAGAGGTGATTATTACCCGGTGCTAGCAACTAATACCTGTCTAATTTGGTACCGTGGTTAATAACATCGAACTTAACGAACGGACTTTAATTGAACGGACGCGGACATTAAATAATAATATAAAATGAACGCTAGGCCCTAGGCGGGGCTCCAGCGTTGCAATTAATGTCCCTTCAATTTTTCGGGCCTTATTTGTAATTTGAACTTTAAATTAGTAAATTATAACGAGCGTGCTAAATCACTCTACAGTCGATCTTCGAGATTGTTCTAGAAGGGCCCCCGACAGTAGAAACCAACTTCAATCGATGTATTTTCGGACGCTGATTCCGAATCACCCCCCATGACATAGGGTTAAAATGCTCCCCTGACGAGATATTGGCGAAAAACTTCTCGATCACGTGATATGACCGTACAAGGAAGTTAGTCTAATTTCTCGTTAGGGTTAGGTTTTCAGCATATGCTTGTGTTAAGGATTGGGTTAGTATATATATAGGGTTAGGGTTGGGATCAGATTAGAGGGTTAGGGTTTCGAATAGTCGTTCAAGACCAGCTAGAGAACGGGTTGAAAAAGTCACGTGACAGTCGAGTGTAGAGTGATTAATCATCATCCAAATTATAAGGTCCGATAAGGAACGTGCGATGAGCAATAGACTAGCAATTAGACCAGCAAATAGACTAGCAAGCAATAGACTAGCAAGCTAGATAAACTTAAAGATCTGATCAAGTCCTGGTGTAATTTAAGGATAGGAGAAGGGGGCTGTCTCGTATGATACTTTGGTTAATTTTGCAGTCTGTCTGCAGGTCTTGCTCTTTAAGACATCGATTAGTGAAGCCCACATGAGACACCAAAAACCGTTGTACCTTCTGCAAGGTTAAATTGAAAGGAATTCGGTAGGCCGGCCAATATATCGCGTTAATTGTCGTGCTGATACCGCATCCAGGGATAAAGTCTGTGCCAATCCAGGTCCGCTCGTAGTACTCCGTATTATATTTATATAGCTTCACTCTCCAGCAGGAAGGGCAAGTCTCAGCTCCAGCCACTCTCCAAGTTGCATGAAGGCTATATGGCTCCCAATTCCCATCATCTGAAAGGACTTTCTGATTCAATAAAATGCTTAGGGGTCGTTCACATATTACGTAATCATTTTTTGGAACATTTTTGCCCCCCCCCCCCCCCCCCCCTCCATAATCAGTTTTACAAATAGCTATTGTGTAATATCAATATGTGAACGATCCCCCCTATGTGATCCGCGATAGCTTGCAACTACAGTTATATCTTTACATGATCTGAGTAGCACCATTGTATGCCATGGGATCATGAAATAACACGAAAATCGGTACCACATGATCTGTTCATCGACATACAGCAGGGTGTCGTAATTATTGGCGCGTAGACAATTTTGCGTGAAATTTTAGCTTACCCAAGCTTTTAGAAACGATCATTACTTGACTTTGAGGGTCACTTTCCTATGCTGATGCAGTGTTGATTATTCGAGAGATAATCCTTTAAACTACAGTTTTATCAGTTATTTAGAATATATATTCGCATGGCAATTGATCGGTGTAGTTGGTGTTGTACACACTGCACTGATAATGATATCACGTTGTACGTGTAATGTAAATATAGTGTGGATAATGCGAATATATATTCTAAATAACTGATAAAATTATATTCCACACAAAGCATGAAATTGTGCTGTATATGAGTGGTGATTTCGCTCTGAGAATCAGGGTCAGTAGCTCAATTGGTAGAGCAAGAGACGCGAAATCTCGAGGTTCTGGGATCATTCCCCAGTTGTCCCTAGTTTTTCAGAGTTAATCATCACATATAGACAGCATGAGAGTAGGCCTGGCCATCTCGTAGTGAGAAACTACAGTTTAGTCTAAAAACGAAGTCCGAAAGAAGAAAGAAGCTAAATTGTAAACGTCGTCGATAATTACGACGAAAGAGAAAAATTTGGATTATTGGACTTTAAATTGAATGTTGAAGCTTCCAGTTCCCCTGAATTCCGGTATGCGTCCGCCCGACTATATTTTATTGCGTCAGTTATGAAAGAGAGCTTTTAGTTTTATAAAAGCTACAGTTTTCTATATGTTTCGCTATCGGTTGAGAAGCTGTGCACTTTATTAGTCTAAAGAATAATTTCAGGAAAAATTCACCGAAAAAATTACACATAAATCCCTTACTCCTCCATAAAATTAACCAAGTGGGAAATCAACCCTTTAAAATTAAATAACGGCCTTATAAAATTAAATAATGGGTTTTGAGGTACATCAACACTGAACACAAAATTCTAAAATTAAGAAAAAGTTCAAACGATCGTCTACAGACCAGTTTTTGAATTTTTAAGTTGTAACATTCAAGTTGAACTTGAATGTTACAACTTTTCTGTATGTTAAGTAAAATTACTGGGCAGCGCTCAGCCTGTCATTCCGCCGAATCTCTATTATGTTTATGAATATAATGGCCTGCCCCAGGCCCCCAGCTAGGTACGATTGAGATAAAACGTGTCTCATGACGTTGATAAAGTGAAACTGGTCGTCGGATTCATTATCTGTATCTGAATGCTCGTAAGTCGGCATTATATTAACGTTAAACTAGAGTAGTACGTGACGGTGAGTCTTTATTTTTATTGTGCGTGTTTTTCCACGTGAGAGTCGCGTAAAGTAAACCCGTTGAAACAGTATCGCATTGAGCTGTTATACTTATAATAGTAGCCCTATTAAGGCAACTATAACATCATGATTTGAACACTGTCATTTGCTTTTTTCCCTTGAATATTTTTTACAAGGGATGAAATCTGTGGTAAATAAAATGCACTCTAAAATCCAGATCTATAAAACGGATAACGAGATACCGGGATTTGGAGTACGTGAATTTGTATTTTTATTGTGCGTGCTTTTCCAGCATGAAGTCTCAAGATTCCGAGGAACAATAAATAAGTATCAAGTTCAAAGAACATGTTATCTTACTAATACTGGGTACTGAATTCAGAATTGTACCAAAGATCTTATCTTCATGAACTCTCATATCTTTGTACAATTACAAATTAACATCTTGCAGAAGAATATGTGAAGATAAGAATCATATCTACTTATTAGCTTGAAATTATCACAATGTGGTTCAACTGCAAAGGTGCCGTACCGGAAACTCGTACTTCGTTTTATAGATCTAGATTGTAAAATTAGTGGGGCGTGGGCGTTGTATTTCCCATGGATTTAAACCCTCGACTAAATCTCGAGAAATGAGACCAAATTTTTTTATAAGTCATATCACGTGATTGATACAGTTTTTCACTGATAACTCGCGTAGAATTTGAGGAGGTAGGGGCTACTAGAATCAAGTACGTTTGCTCAAGGACAATTTGCGAGTAAAACGATAAGACAAGACGGTGTTAGACTTAGTGTAAGTGTAACTTATTGTTTCCATAGGGCGGTATATACTATATAAGTTAATGATCTTAGCTTATGGAGGGGGGTTTGTTTTAAAACATATAACTTTATAAGAGATACGAAAAGTTTGTTTTAGCTTTCAAAATACATGTTTATTGTTTACCTTATCGAACCTTATTTGGACGGACATTACGTGAACGCTGGATCGAGGCCCTAACGTTCATTTTAATGTCCGTTCAAATAAAGTCCGTTCATTTAAGGTCCGTCAAACTCAAAGTTAATGTCCGTTGAATTTTTTAAAAAAAATTTTCCACTTCGAACTTTTTGTCCAGAATATGACAACTATAAAAACTTTATTGTGCCGTAAGTTAACGACGGAAAGGTTCTCCTTGGTCTGCCGGAGGCACAGAAAACTTTACTGGTATTAGGGGGTGCACGATAAAAATATTAATAAACTTGCTGATCGGATTTAAAAAATTTTTGTACCACTGTTTTCTAGAGACTGTGAGAATTTTGACAATACCAAATTTGTTATACCTTTTTTGGAAAGATTAGTGAGTTTCGCCTAAGTGCCATATTTGCAGATGCTTTACCTGGGGACCTCAGGCTATCATGTTCATTAACATAGAGATTCGGCGGAATGACAGGCTGAGCGCGGCCCAGTAATTCCCAATATCGTGTGACCCAACAGAGGGGATTGTGGAAGGACACGTACATTTTTCATTAACACGTGCCCTGATCACCCCCTCCGTTGAGCTACTATACGGGGAACGTTGACCGCCAGTCTGTAGTCAGATCGTTAATAAATTATACTTTAAAATTGGTTGCCGGGTGGCACAGTAGCGCATTTCGCCGATCTAGCCAGAGTCGCTGTGAGAAGCCTTATTAAGTGCGCGGCGCGGCACAGTAACGCATCGCGCTACAATGGTGTCAGTGAGAGACGTTAAGTTAGGTGAACATTGGTACAAAAATATGATAATCTAGCAGTTTATCTCAAAGTTAAAATCACTATTTGTTAAAGTATACAAACAGTTCTATTCAAAAGAACAAAGTCCGAGAGCAGAGAGAAGATTTGGAGACTATACACGCATATGTGGGGTTTAAATTTGGTATTAGTAATTTTAGGGTTCGACCGAAAATGTTGGTCGGTTGGTTAATAGGGAGCAGTCACTGTCATTAGAATTATCAGATTAGGAGCAACAATTAGAATCAAATTGGACATATTGTGTATTGTGTATTGTGTATTGTGAAATCAGTGAAACCTAGAATGGCGGTAAAATGCTAGCGCGCCTTGTTATGCGCGCTAACATACTAGCTGCTGAAAATAAAGAAGTATATGCATGATAATGTCGTTTGGCGTCAGCGCCTGCCGATACCTGGATTATATTGTGTTTAACTTAGAATTCAGTGAAATTTTTGTCATTCCATTCAGCACCATACCTGTTTTGGGCATTCATCAATGACTTTTGTAATTTATTCTTAACAGAAGAACAAAAGGAATTAAAATTAAATGAGCCAATTTTACAAAACTCATTCCACAGCCACGCTGATTTATAAATGAATTGTTTAGTTGGAGAAGGTGTGATTAACATATTGTCTTTCCTATGAGATATGGTGAACAAAGAGAACATTGAAATTGGTACTCTTGTCTTAATTATCTTAAAAAATTCCATTAGGCAACGTAGTCTATATAGGTTCTCTACAGCTAGTAATTTATGTTTTGCAAATAGAGGTTTGGTAGACTCCTTAACATAAAAATCGCAACCCAAACGTTGGGAGCCGAATAGAACGGTCTAACTCTAGCACATGTTTTGAATTTGTCTACATACCTTTTATGGTCTCCGAATAGAATTCTTATACATTTCTTCTGAGTAATAAATAGTGGTTTTAACTGGATATTAGGAATACCTCCCCACACAGAAATAGCAAAACCGAGATGTGATTCAAAGAGAGAATGGTAAATTTGTTTATATAGTGATTCTGGTAAGCATTTCTTAATACGGTAGATACGTCCACAAGCACTGCTTAGTTTTTTGTTAAGAGATTTATGTGTGGTTTCCAACTTAATTTGTCATCAATAATTACTCCAAGGAATTTAGTTTGACTAACACGCTTGATTACCTATACATCACATCTCCGCAAGCAATCCTCGCGCGCGCCCAACTTTTTCGTTGCATGGTGACGAACGGAAGGAAGGACACACGACATATTTAAACCCACCTATCTCGTTCTCCAAAATTCACGTTTTCCTGCAAAAACCTCCATTTGTAACCTTTCACTATTGCTTTTTTTCAAAAGGGTGAAAAAGAAAAAATTAAACATTGGACATCGTCAACCAAATATTTACCTTAATGATTTAATTTTACTTTGTCTTAACCATTTTAAGCTTTATTTTTTTTATATATATAATATTTTTTAAAACTTTAATGTCGAATTAACCACATTTAATCCAGTTGTCAAAAATACGCGTACGTCTAAGTAAATTGATCGTCGGTCGCGGTTGTTATATGATTCTAATATATGACAACCGAAAAGAAAACTCTCGCAACAACCTTTATACTTCTATTTTATGTCTTATGTCACAATAAAGGATAACATTTTAAATTTGTCTCACTATTCATTTCCACTAGTGAATTTACCAATGAGCTGTCTTGCTATAATATATGCTAGTAAAGTCGTGCTAAGTTGTTGTGTTCCAGCAGTTGGTGTGGAATGGAAATTTGTAGTCGTCACGGTTAACTCAGCCAAATGATTAGCATGGTACACCACACACTGTGTTTTCAGACTACTGCAGAAATAAATTGAATCTTGTACAATAATTTCAGTACATAGTCATTGGAATATAATATAGGTCAGTATAGTACTATGGTTTACAGTTCACCTCAACTCAGATGTAAATGTATGATGGTTGCTTGAGTCTAAGATACTTGATCTTTTGACAAAAGGAAAACAAAATTTAAGGAAACAAAATTTAAATTTTATTGCCAATACATTATGAATTCTATTTGGATCTATAAAAAAAACTGTATTTAGTTTCCTTTTATTATTGTGATGTTATTTTCCAGTTTTCTTTGCCCTTGCTTGCCGTTGATGTCATCAGTTTTGGGACTTGCTAAAATAGATGTATATTGCAATGGCGAAACATATTGTGTATACTAATTCTTTGTTTAACTATGTGCCACCCTGCTAAATTTTGTTTGCCTTATACCCAAAAGTTTTCTAATGTCCTACTAATTTGTTTACTGTAGAATTCATTAAAAGTGATCCTGAGATGATCAGACTGATAGATTCCCCATTTAAAATATATAACAAAATACTTTCGATCCAAAAACAGGCTAGAAACCATGTTTTTTGATCTTTTGAAGTTTTGAGCAAATTTCTTTAGTCGGCATACCGACAAAATTTGCATGATGCTGCAATAGAACTAGCTACACATGATAGTATCAAAATTAAGCTGTTATTTCAGAATCTCCTGGTTATAAATTCAAAAAAGTGTACTTGTATCAATTCAACTTGAAAATATTTGTATCACGTTTTTTACCTTTCCAAGAAATTCCCACTTGATATTCTTTATTGAAGTTTTATTAGTTCCACTCTGCAGGCATGTGTTATCACTATGTACACAAGCACTGCAAAATCTTTAAATGCAATCTTACTGCTGACACAGCATGGATACACCTACTTAATTTGCCTAACACCAGAGGCGGCTCGTGGGAGCTGGCTGGCAGTTTTGTTGGGGGTCCAATCGATGGACTGGGGGAGAGGGGCTTGGAGCCGGCTCAAGCTGATCCATCCAAACTACCGATTACATTACACACAGGGCCTTGTAAATGTAAAGTGTACACTTTACAGGCGACAGCAAACAAAAACAAAAACTTATAACATGGGTGAAACAGGACACCACACGTGTACGATCTCAGCCGCACAGTATCACAACAGTCAATAGTTCAAAGGGTCCTGGACCCCCAAATCGAGGCAAATCATAATAGATTACCTGTAGTGGGATGCGCACGATGTGCTTTGTAACGTTTACAATTAACTATGTGTTAAAACTGCGCGGCTGAGTAGTCCAGAGGTAGGATTGGACTCCATACAACACAAAATTTCACGAAGATCATGCGTGCGCTTACATTAAAACGTATGATAGTAAACGAAGACCTTTATATTGCGATTTGTTATTTCCTAACACTATTACTAATTACTATTTCTATTTTAAGCACCAGCCACCAGATAATAATTTAAAGGCGTCCACGGACGCCTGGACGCCCTCAATAGCCGCCTCTGCCTAACACTGCCATATTTTGTCTATCACATGACTGATAAGGACTCATTTGTAAATCAAAGAGGATTATTGATCCTTATCAACGGTTTTGAGTTTTTTTTAGATAAATTGCAACCCTTAAACGTTTTCGTACAATCATTTATCATCAAGGAGTCAGTGTTCCAAATAGGTCGGGACAACGTCCGAAAAGCATGCCCTGCATGGAGCACTTATTTTGTTTCTTAAATTTCATAGAATGATATCATTAATCCAATTTGAGCCAATCAGGCATCAGCCGACGTGTGGCTTTTACAGTGGCGTAACGTTGCCTGTTGGCGCCCCCTGCCGAAAAGGCGCCCCCCTGTTGGCGCCCCCTCCCCTTTTGGTGCCCCTCCCTAAAATTGAACAAATTAGGTGATTTTAGAGGATACGCCGGTAAAATCTCTAAAAAAGTGTGTATCTAGAGCAAAACGCGCAGTTTTGCTAGTACTTTAGTTAAGTTTTCGAAATTGTCCCACATTCAAACGACGATTTGGCGCCCCCCTAAGACGGCGCCCCCCTGCACAGCGGGGTCAGCAGGGCCCTTCGTTACGCCACTGGGCTTTTATGGTTATCTATGATATGTATAATCTGTAATAAAGATCAAAATTCAAATTTGTATTCCCTAAAATTTGTATTCCCTATGGCCCAGGGCCCTGGAAGTGACCTTTGCTAAAAACTTATGCTATCCATAAATTAATAACTTTCCAATCAGCGAGGCAGGTACTGTGATGCTTCAGAATCTGTTCTTAAAATAGAGACCATCAGCAGGCTTGTAATAATTATAGCTTTAGTCTGGCTATTTTTTCAATTTGGGACCAAAAATATTGTTTGAATCACTGTTTTTAAGTGCCTATTTATAACTATTTCAATAACAAAAACACTGATTCAGGTTTACCATGGCTGTTACCTCTGCAAAGTTTAAAAGCGGTAGTGTCTCTGACTCACTTGTGAATTCAGAAACCCTCGATGCCTACATCAAGGATATTGATTTAACAACGCCTACACTTCTTGAAATACTAGACTCGGATTTTGATGGAATGTTAAGTGCTAGCATAACAAGATCATTCAATTTTGATGAAGCAATTCACAATGTGCCAATGGATACTTCTTCAAATGCTGAACTTCAAAGAAACAATAAATCATCTGAAAAATCAAAAAATAATGAATCAGAGAAACCAAAAGTTAAAAGTGAGCCAGTGCAATACACGCCAATACATGTGGCTGAACTGATAACCAAACATTCTGGAAAACAGTCCCCTAGAGAAAATGTTAAAATTTCCAAATTCAATGCTGACGATGGACACCATTCAGATTATGGTTTTGAGGGATCAAAGAAATATCCTAGCAAGCCAGCCAATATAGGCTTAACATTGCAAACACCATCCTCATCATGTCAGAACATCTCTAAATACATGAGTTCCCAGGACATTCCAGACTGTCTTGATGCTTCGTCTGCTTCTTCAATTTGCTCAGAAAATGAGTATTGTCCAGTTTCATCATCGTCCTCTCCTCATATAAAACAACGCAGCTCTGAATCAGACTCGCTACAAAATATGCCTGAAGGGAAGCGGTTTAAAGGAATTTCCAAGAAGGAAGATGAATACAGGCGACGAAGAGAGAGAAACAACATTGCTGTAAGGAAGAGCAGACAGAAAGCTAAACAGAGAATTATGCAAACTCAGGTTCGTTTTTGGTGATAGTAAAGTTTTGTTCTATTTTCTTGTGACTTTGCTTTAATAGATTGACTACAATGTACATTGTACATTCATTCTTTTCAATAACAACATTAAATACTTAGATATTTAGCCTTCATGGATGACAATATAATATTACAAGTCATTTCGTATTCACACATTTTAATTCAAACATTTCAGGAAAGAGTTATGGAGCTCAACGACGACAACGATCGGTTGAGAGAGAAATGCGAAAACCTGCAAAAGGAGCTGAACATTCTGAAAGCTATCGTTAACAGTGGTAACTTCATCGCTCCAGATGGAACGATGTACAAAGTCAACGCTTCTCAACTAATAACTGATGTCCCTGGTTCAAGACTAAAATGAAGACTGATTCCAAACACTCAATATCACACAAAGATGGTTTACCTACCAGGATGTGATGTACAGTTCTTGATTACACTAAAATAAAATCACTGAAGTAAACCTAAAACAAACACTGACAAGCAAGTGAGGAGATATTATGTGGGCTGCAGAATGAAAAGACGGAAACTATGTGATCAATTAATCAAGGGTGATTTGAAATTTGTTTAATGCTATCCAGATATTATATAATAATCAACCCTGAACCTTGATTTAACTGTTGAATTACTGATTTTTCAATGTCGTAAAATTTGTGCTATGTGTGGATGTGATCTCATGACAATCAAACGTATAGCGGGAATTTCACTCAGTCTTAATTGCAGAATTAATGTATTGTAGTTATAGAAGCTTAGAATTAGAAAACTTTCTTGGATTGAACCGAAACAGTTCAAATATATTCACCGCTTATATTCGAATTTAGGAACCTAATCTGTTTTGTTTAAATCTGTTATTTAATGAGTTCTCATATTATGAGAGTATTTTTACAGAATAACATACTAACCAATACAAAAGAGATGTAATTCAATCTTTTGTCGTGCAACCTTGGCCTAGGACAATCAAAAGTATTAGTTATTTAATCTAAGTGAAAATTAGATTAAACCACATTCTGTGTTAAGATTAAGACTTAGATAATATTATGTCGTTTCAAAACGTTTCAATATCTTCACAAGTTAATCAGTTGGTATTTCACTGGTCATTTCACGATAAGACTTTTTCGCTTTTTAACTCTTCAGAATATTTTAATCATTTTAGAGACTTCAAACGATGATTATTTTTAGATATTGCATACAATTTGATATGTGGATGTCTTTGGGTCAGCACAATATTTTTCTCTTGTCGATTGAACTCTCATTTTATTTAATCTAACTTATTCTTTAATTAAATTATTGATGGGCAAAGTTTAACAACTATTTATTTGGGAATTAATCAGATTTCATTAATAATGACGTGCATCATGATGAAGTACAAATAAAGCTTTTGACCAGTAATTTTATTTCTTAATTCACATTCAGCTTTTTGAATGAGTCAGGGAACAAACAAGTTATTTATTAATCCATTAGGTTACTTATGAATCACATGGATAACCAATTAATATCCACCAGATTGAACATGGATATTTCGCTTTTTCTTGAGATTATTTTCAATTTTCATGCACCTTTAACTGTTGATTCTCAGAATGTATTATCTTATTATCGGAGCTTGTTCAAATTTGATTAGATGGGTATTCAACCGGACACAGTTTTAAAGAATTAACGTGACTTTGATAACGCTACCAACCAAAATCCAACAATTCTCCCATAACCTCTGTAATATTTCTACCAACCAAAATCCAACAATTCTTCCATAACCTCTGTAATAACGCTACCAACCAAAATCCAACAAGTTTTCCATAACCTCTGTAATATCGCTACAAACCAAAATCCAACAATTCTCCCATAACCTCTGTTATATCGCTACGGACCAACCAAAATCCAACCGTAATCCTTTCTCAGAGAGAAAGCGGCAGCCGGCACACATAATCAAACAGTAATGCTACTCAGAGGTGTGGTGCTAACTGAAAGTTGAGAGAGTGTAAAACTTACCCCTGGCTCACTTACCGGTCACTTACCCCTGGCTTGGGAGCTCCTGTTATAACCTAAATACATGCCCGCGTGTACTGGCCTAATTATGAGCTTAAATTGAAGTGGTTACTGGCCAAGATTATTCCTAATGCTTTGTGCCCATTTGAGTACTGGTTTGAGGTGGAGTCACGTGACGAATCAAGTGTCACGTGAGAGGCACGTGTCTCGTGTCGGCCAGTAAGGTTGAGAAGTTTACATGTATGGGTGAAATAAGGTGGAGGTAGAACTGATAAATAGGGGTAAACAACAATTTCATGAATAGAAGAGTTCAATTAGTTGTGCACGTGCGAGCAATATAGTCTGCCAATTTATATTCCAATAATGCCTCAAATTCTTCGTATGGTATGTACTGCAAAATTATACTTATCGGCCTGAATTCATATCAAATTCATAATTATTAATTAGCGGAAAATTGCAGGATTATAATTCTTTCACCATGAACTCAGCTTATCGTTGAAATTTTCAAAAGTTCGAATTTGACATTACTGTATCAAATTTCTAAGGGAGAATCCTAATTCACTGAGTTATCTCCTAAATTTTATGGAGCAATTTCAAGAATACTGTTGGTACCCTAATATTAGATTATCAGAAGAAACGCAAGAAATAAAATAAGTGTTTAATTAGGAAAATACTAATAAGTTATTTGGTTATAATAATAATTAGTAATAATTAGTCTTACTGTGTGAGCTGTTTTTAACAATGATTGTTTCTTTATTATTCAATTTCGTTGTCAAGTTTTGCTATGTAAGAAAATTCGATATTTATTTCCTTTAAACTGATGATATCATGTGTTTTACTTGTCCTTTTTTCTAGATAAACTTTGTTAATCAAACTCTTATCTACGAATCAACGTTTAATTATTCGCATATTGTCATTGATAAAATTGTCCCAAGTTGATTTATCGCCCTTTCTTATTAATAATGAAATCGAATTTTCTTAATGAAATTATTAAATTCAAACTAACCGCCCGTAATATTTAGGTGCGGTTATGCAGAGTATCGCTGCCTTCGGAAATCAGCAACAAACTCCTCACCATTTAAAAGAAAGTGGTCTTTTCCGGATACATCCAGATGATGATCCAATCAGAGTTGCAATCACAGATTTTGATTTGAAGAATAAAAGTTACATCGCGAAAGGTTCTTTCGGAAAAGTATATAAGACAAGCTTTCGTGGCGGATTGGACGTTGCCGAAAAAAAATGTATTTTCAAGGAGAGGCGTGTCGAAGATTACGAACATGAACAACACATCTCGCTAGAATCTTGGTATAGAGAATTGTCCTTTCATGGATCGAGCAAGCATGAGCACATAGTCCGGTTGCATGGGTTCATTGCTATATCTGCTGATATATCAAACGTTCCACTCCCGGACGGCAAATTGCGGCCCCTCGATCCAAACCGCCCCAAAGCACTGCACTTGTTTTTAGAACTAATGACATGCAGCTTTAGAGAAATTCTGAATTGTTTGTTCGACAAATCACATTCTGATTACAGTAAAACCCCTTTTAAGTGCCCTGAGGGAAAAGTGCAAGTTGAGCCATTTAGAGCATTTCTGAAGCATGTTTGCAGCGGACTGATCTACCTCCATGATAATGGGTACATGCACCGGGACCTGAAGCCGGGGAACATTCTTCTGAAGGTTGAAGACGGGAGAGCTGTTGCTAAACTAGCTGACTTCGGAACCATCAAGGTTAATTACTGTCTGAACCTTCTCAATTCCTTAGAAATCTACTTTAGTTGCGCTTCGTATTTGAATTCGATATTAAATAGAACTAGATTTAAGATTTGGGTTCAAGGACAGAAATCATTTAAACATTAAACGACTTTAAAAAGATTGCACCTAATTCTCAGGCTAGCTTCTATGCATTGAGAAAATACAACATACATATTTTCGTTTTGCAAATAGGACTTATTTTCTTCACAAAAATCTCAATGAAATGTGAATTTTCAGATAGATTTTGCTTTTGAACAGGCAACAAGGTTAACAGGTTAAGGTTTCGTCTACCCATACTAACGTTCGTGCCGCCAGGACTACAAAGAGACGACACGAGGCGAGGAGAAGAACCTCCACTCTGCTGATCCAGGGACCACCAAGTACGGGGCTCCTGAGGTGATCTACAATGAGGGACCCTATACTAAGTCATGTGACTTGTGGTCTATCAGCATTACTTCTGTGCAACTCATATCTGGTATGTGCTGTCCTGTGATAGCTTCCAATATATTGATCTGGAAACTGGTGGGGATGTGAAACACATTTTTCTTGCACGTGACTGCGATTATCCAATCAGCTTCCAGCTTTGAGCGATAAACTGTCAAAATCACTATCACGTGTCAAAACGAATATGTTTCACTTCACCACCATGCCATAATTCACGTCTTTATGGCATTTATAAAGAGACATAAAATAGTTGTGAAGTTGCAAAATTATTAGATGCAGTAGAGTGTAGCGACCACCCCCCCCCCCCCCCCCCCGGCCCCAGTAGAGTGTAGTGACCCCCCTCAGTAGAGTATAGCGACCCCCCTCCCCCAGTAGAGTGTAGCGACCCCCCCCCCCAGTAAAGTGTAGCGACCCCCCCTCCCAGTAGAGTGTAGCGACCCCCCCCCCCCTCAGTAGAGTTCAGCGACCCCCCCCCCCCCCCCCATGCCAGTAGAGTGTAGTGACCCCCCCCCCCCCCCAGTAGAGTGTAGCGACCCTCCCCCGGCCCCAATAGAGTGTAGCGACCCCCCTCCCCAGTAATTGAAATTTTACTTTCATCCTCATTGAATCCTGCTGGTTTCATTTCATTGTTTTTGAAGTTTTTAATATCATTGTTAAGACTAATTTAGTTGAGTTACTATTCAAGTTTCTCACTGTTTTAATGAGTGTAACCACAGGATATCACCCGGTGGTTACAGACGAGAGCCAAAACTCTACATCAAGATCCAGCAACACCATCTACTGCCGGAGAATCTCCAGTGACGATCCCTTCACTGATCTGCCTGAGAAAGTGGGACTAGGAGGTGAACTTGGTGAAATACTAGGGAAGTGTTTGGAGAGGGACCCAGAGGAGCGCCCTAGTGCGGGAGACGTGTTGGAGGTAGTTGGTGGTTTGGAGAATGATGGAGTGTTGTTGTGGGAATGGTTTAAAGATCTTGGTATTGGCGAGGATATTGAATCGAAACGTACTGGAAAGAGATAAATGGACGCTTCGAGTGCTTTTAGTGAGGTTGGTAGATGGAGCGGAACCAAGTTTAGTTGAGCTTGTTCTTAAGCTTCAATTATTATAGACATCTTTTAATTGATCTTAATCATTCATTTTTATATGTTATTTGATATAACCGAATATTTTTCTAATCTCTTTTATTTTTCTACTATTAATTGTATATTGTATTTATATAACGATTCAGAAATTTCGCTTCTGATTTTATCCATTTTGTATGTCCACTTAGATATAAATTTGTAACGTTGATGATGCTTAATTCGGGATGATCCTTCTACAATATTATGTAAAATAATTTTTAGTTTTTAAATTACTGGTTCATTTAAATGTTATTGCCTTCAGACACCGACACTATCGGTGTTTTTGCCATCACTTTGAAGTTGAACCTGTCGGACTGGCTCAAAGTGATGCCAAAAAACAGCCGATTAATTTCTAACCATCGTTTCACGATATAAATAGTCAGAATTTCTGATAACAATGAGACTCCCAATTATGTGTATTTATATTTTAATTTTGGGCTTGTATATAATTTGCGGCTTGTATTAGATAATTTTATATGGTGTTATTTAGTTGTATTGATGATAATTTTTATAAATCTAAATGCTCGACTACTCATTGTATAGATACTTTTGGAACTGGACAACACCATGACTTAAACTCGATAAATCCATAACGAATAATTGAATCAACACACTAAAATAATGATATTATTTCTCTTACATATCAAACCCATCCACTGTTAGCACTTTATGTCTTTAAACATCAGAAAATCACTGACTCAAACATAATATTATGTCATTACATCACTACATCAGTCAGAATATTACCCGGATTAGCACTTTATCTTAGGAGAATTAACACTGTGTATCATGGACATCTGGTGTTCAATAATTATACTCGATTAGGTCTGTGGCTATAGCAAAGACAGCTCGATAGTTCCTGCATGATCAAATAAAATCAACATTAACCAAATTCTACTGAATTTTCTTCGCAGTTTAAACTGTGACCTCACATTTAAACTTGCTATTAATCAACATAAAAACCCTAAAAATACCTTGCACCCGATTTGTCTTGATTATGTTTCTCAGAACCCCTCTAACAGCCTGCCTCACATTCCGCAGTTGTTACTGAGCGCCACCTACTTGATTATAATATTACTGTGCTCGCTCACTTCTATAAAATACACTGGATTTTGTAGGTCTTAAGTCTGAACTGCAGTATCAACTGGTGCCCCACACTATAGCGTTGTCGCACAATATCACAACATATCGCTATAGTTAACAAGGCCCTCACGTCCCCAGTATATCGTGCCCACGTGCTCAGGATCGTGCCCACGTGCTCAGGATGTCTGTATTGTGCCCCGATTTGTGGAGTCACGTGGTCTGTTAGCAAGTTGAGTTGCTAGGTCACGTGGTGTGTTACCATGCAGAGTTGCTAGGTCACGTGGTGTGTTACCATGCAGAGTTGCTAGGTCACGTGGTGTGTTACCATGCGGAGTTGCTAGGTCACGTGGTACAGCACGTGATCTGTAACCATGGCGAATTAGCAGACAGATGGTCCGTCACTCCACCGCTAACTTTAACAAATTCAAAATGGCAGCAGATGATCGGAAACACATCTGATTTAACAGAGCCTCTCACACTTGTTAATAAAACTTTCAAAAAGCTTAAATACTTTATTAGATTAAAAGATAATATGATCTTTTTTAAGGTATGTAGTTTGTGTTTTAGGGACCTCTGCGTTCACAAATGACACTTATACTGTAATTATGATTCTTCTCGATTTGTCAGACATAGGTAAAGCTGTAAAGATTAAATGGGCACATTTCACTGACAACCGCTATAATGTAGTATTTTGAGGCGTGAGCACAATTTTATGCACATTTTATGCATCTACTCCTACAGGTTTAAAGACTAAAAGCAGCTGTATGAGTACTGAATCGTTCAAGGTGTGCTTACTATACCAGCTTCTGAAAAACTATCTAAAAATACCACTTAGATCTTTAGATCTTAGATATCCCTCCGTATTAGGAGGGAGGGAGGGAGGGAGGGAGGGAGGGAGGGAGGGAGGGAGGGAGGGAGGGAGGGAGGGAGGGAGGGAGGGAGGGAGGGAGGGAGGGAGGGAGGGAGGGAGGGAGGGAGGGAGGGAGGGAGGGAGGGAGGGAGGGAGGGAGGGAGGGAGAGAGAGAGAGAGAGAGAGAGAGAGAGAGAGAGAGAGAGAGAGAGAGAGAGAGAGTTGACAAAAGATTGCACAGTGACCACACCTTGCAGGTACATCATGTTGTGGAGCTGTATCCACGTAAGTACCTAATATAATGAGATATATGGGCATTCATTTGGGGATATTACCTTGTATGGAGTAGGGGGGTTGTAGTTGTGTAATTATTGATGGAGCAAGTGATGATGGAGCTTAACGATAATCGTTTAGTGATTATCAAGGCTTTTTTAATTAATATAAATTGTATTATTTGAGTTAATTCTTCAATCATTTGTTTGGTGATATGCTAGCTGTTATTCATTTCATTATTCGAGATCCATGAATCAGGTTAAATCGTGAATGAAAGAACCGAGTACGTATAGTATAATATAGTAATATACAAGATAATTCAATATTGTACATTTAAATATTAAGTATTATATAAATCGATATTAAAATCTTTATACATTATCAGGAACAATATCTAACATAATAATATAATAGACGCGAGAAGTTTGGAAACTATTGTTTACTCCTTGGCTTTACATTATATAGATATATATTATTTATAGTTCTGATAAAATAAGCTTGTAAGTTAGCACAACCACCCTTCGTTACATCCCGGCCTAGCCCAGTTATTATGCACATAATCTTCCTAGCCCAGTTATTATGCACATAACCTTCCTAGCCCAGTTATTTAAATGTATAATCATACCAGATGATCAGGACTACACACAGACGGCTGGTGCGAGTAATGATAATTATATTCACTGTAAATATTTCAATTGTTGCTGTCGGAGAGGTAACGTAGGCATTTATCAACCGTCAACTCTAACTATGTAACTAGCTATTTAAAAGGCCCGGCCCGCTCATTTTGACTCCTAATATTCTAATACCTCATATTATAGCAAATCATAACTTTACAATCAGTCTGCTGGACCTTACAAATTATAAAATTATAGAAACTTAACAACCATCACCAGAAGTCATTAACAGTGATTTAAGTACGCGACGGGGCACACTATAACGGTACTTTTACGGCACTCACCAGAAGGTACGGCACATTATTACGGCACTCACCCGAAGGTACGGCACACTATTACGGCACTCACCAGAAGGTACGGCACATTATTGAAGCTGTTTTCAATGCCACTACCTTGAAGTGTGTCTCTCAGTTGTCACAAACTAACATAACAAGATGTGAAGCACTTTAATCTTCTGTGAGAGTCACCGCCCTTTTGTTTGTTCCATCTTCACATTATCATGATCAACTGAAATGTTAAGTTTAGTGTTTGTATTAATACCGTGTGGAGATTGTAAGGGTAATTAGTGTGAAGACGTTGTGACGTGTTTAGTATGTAATTATGACGTTTTAATAAGTAATTATGACGTTTTAAGTATGTAATTATGACGTATTTACTATGTATTTAATTATGATACGATAAATACGCTGTTATGACGTAAAAGTAATCATGGTACAGAGGACGAGAGAGAGCACGTGAGTCACTGTGAGTGGTTGTTATATTGTGAGTTAGCGAGTTAGCAGTGACGCAATGTTTTGACTTTAGAGTGGTTGAATTTCTGCTTAAATGTCAGATAGATTTTAAGTTACCTTCTTTCATGTAGATTTAACATCGTAAACAAAGGTGGGACATTAGAGGCGGACAACCCTCTGAAGGTGATTGGTAACCGGCTGGTTACTTTGGTTACTTTGATTGGTAACCGGCTGGCGGACTTACAATCACTGATTTATTTTCAGAACCTAACAATTTTGAAGACTATATATATATATAAAAATTATGTCATCTCAGATGATTGTCAGATTTCATTTCCTATTTCTTGACCTTGGAGGATGTAAAAAGCTTTTTGTCTGATATGAGGACACAAAAGAAAGTATCTTTTGGCACCATGAACATCACCAGATGTTCCATAATTGATAGTTTCTAAGTTTCCCTTTGCACAATTTGTGTTTTGTTGGCCACAAAATACCGACCAATAACAGCAAGGCGTGTTGAACAATGGAAAATACAGCAGCTTTAGGGTGGAGTTCACCACTGATGCTAAATAAAGATAATATCTAAGTGAAGGGTCACGTGATGTGTTAATCTGAATTTTCCAGCCTGATTAATTCTGTATGTTTAGACCATATATAGAGAAAATATTGAGAGAAAAATATTGCTTAATATATACTTTGTAAAACCATGCATACAGAGGGACTTTTAATGATATACCGTGAAAAATAGAGGAGCAATATCGAAAGTTTTCGATAGAATTAGAAATGTAATAATAGGATACAATACATAGATGAAGTATAATTATCGTGACAGGAATAATATAGTGTAGTTGATAAAAATGAAATTTAAGTTATAAAAAACCCTTTTTATGTCAATGATTTCTATTGAGATTTTGGCTTAGATTCATGGCTACTTCACCCTATCACATGATTATTATAGGACTTTAAGCGCTATTGAGCATAATTAGATCCATTTTCGGCAGAAAACGTGCCAATTAATGCAGTTGATTTGTTTTCAAAAGTTGTTATTTTGGTGCCAATTATTTTGAAAATCCCCTAGATTTACTGTTAAGTCGAAAGTTTTACTGAAGGCATAACTATAACTATAACAATTATATTATAAGAATCGTAGCAAGTTTATGCCCTACTTAGTCGAATAAATGAGCACAGTCACCGAGGTTATTTCTACAGAAGCAGTAGGTACTTTACAAATAGATGCAGATGCCCCAGTATTGACCAATCAGAGCTCAGAGTCACTGTACACGTGTCAAAACACATATATAGATCCTTACTGTGCTCTATCCATTACCTAATCTATTAACTCTGTCAAATATATCTATTAGTATTTGACCTTGTCTCAATCTAATACTTCCTCAGAAAACATCTGCAAAGTAACTTAAATGCTGTGGCTCCGTGATGTTTTTCACTGTTACGGAATCTTTGACTATAAAAAATATGATGTGAAGTGTGAAATTTGAGGCCGCCAATGTAGAGTAATACACAATAAACATTGCAGTGTCATTTGTGGGCCCTCAAAACAGGACGTGTGTTAAATTCTATTAATAGATTCCTCCTGGAGAACCTATAGCTCCAGGGCTGTGTATATCTTTGTGCAAAACTACAGTAGACAGTGCAAGTGTAGTAAGACTGTAAACACGTGTGGTTTATTAGTGCCCTGAACACTAACTACACTGCTGCACACTGCGGTACTGCACGGAGGGACTGTATTAACACTCGTATCTACATTCTACTACATCTATCTATATTGTACAATATAGGTATATTGAGGCAGTAAAACTAATTACATAATATAATGTATATAATAATATAATAATATTATGTTCTGAAACTTCTAGTATAATACACCAATTATTGTAGTACCACTGCAA